TGGACAACCCAATGGGAGCTGGCTCTGGCCCACATATTGTTGCCACTTTTGGCTCGTTTTTAGCATTGTGGGCACGGGTTGATTTGGAAGGAGAATCGTCTCCAGTTAGCAGCACACAGCCAAGCTTTGGGCAAATGTTGACACCTGGAATCTGACCAACGTTGGGATGATTCTGGTGCGTCATCGATCATGAGTCTGGCGTGAGTCCAACAGGCAGGTGTGCCAGGTTTACTGAAGGGCACAGTTGAGCAAAGATATTTTTGCTAACTGGGTCTGAGGCATCCTGAACAGTAACACCAGGTTCTGTAACCTGATCTGATTACCCCGTATTTGTAAGGTGTTGTCTTTTGGGGGAGCCATCTGAACCTTGTACAATACATCAATGCTGCTCCCACAAGATAAAGACTTGTGTGTATAAGATAATCTCTGTTCTCACAAGTCTACAGACATGCTAGCAGCTATGTGGTGCTGTATTGTTTAATATTTGCTAATAAGCACTAAACAAAGAGTCTGAGAAATCCAAAAAATGATCTGACAATCGAGATAAATGAAAAATGAAGGGCTCACCTGTGATTAAAATTCATCTTGAGGGCAACATGAATGTCTGAACCAAATTTCATGCCAATCCAGCCAATAATTGTCAAGACATTGTGCAGAACACAAACCTCCTGGTGGCGTCAGGATGGACCATCATTTGGGAAACATGATGTTGAATGTTGTTTTTCACAGAATAAGTAAAAATGTTGACCTACTGATGGCCCTAGAGGACCACTACAGTCAGTAGGATTCACCTTCTGTGAGCCATGAGCTTCTGTCCAACATGAACAGCAATCCATCGAATAGTTGTTGCGATATTTCAGTCTGAACTAAAGTAGTGGACCAACTGGACGATATACCGCTAGCACAGCTGAAAAAATACAATTCTCTGAGCATTTGTGGCCTCCTTTGTATCTTGCAGCCTACTTATTTTAACCGCTATGCATCTGGACTGTAGAGCTCTATTCTGACTGGCTCATACCTGGTGCCTTTTCTACCTGCAGTCTTTTATTTTACTCTAGTAGCATTGCTTGGAGTCTTATTTAGTGTGTTATATGCTTGAAATTGAATTAAGGTTTTATAACATTTTGTTCTGTAAAAGACTTCTACATCAGAGTGAGCTGAACAAACGAGGAGCGTGAAGAAAGATCGGAGCATTGGGTTGCATGTGCCTGCCACTGGTACCACTGTACTGTATCTGTATCCTGTATCCACACAGGATCATTTCAATGCTTCCCATTCATCTGCATGGATGAGCAATTCTGCTCCTCTGCTGTTTCCTAATCACATGTAAAGCTGATCTTTATAGGAATCTTTTGAATTATGTGTTCATGGGTAAGCAGGGGGTCGCTTCTTCAGCGTGATACATACAGCTTAATCAGTAAAATATAACAGCTCCTTTTTCTTCTTATGGAGCGAGTGGTGAGCAATTTTAAATATAGGGTTAAATATGAAAGCACACAAGGTTTTAGACTATTTACTGACACCAGGAGGCTCCTAAATCCCTTTAAAAGCCCTTTGGAAGATATCAAAACTTGACTGTCATCCAGTTGCCCAGAGTTCTTGACATGTTGCCATCTTGGAGGTTTTCACCTGATATCCTTGCACGACCTGGCCTAGACCACAGCATGTGACAGCACCTTTAACTCAGCATGGAACGGCTTGTTAATGCAGCTAATGTTGGTGTAAAGGTCAGGGAGGGAAGTAAATGTCAAACCTAATCTGAACGGAGGGGGTAAAAAAAACAGGAAGCTTTGACTGAAAGTGAATTTCTAATGTGATGGATGAATGTGGACAGGAGGGAAGTGTCTGACATATACAATATGGAGCCACAGTGATCACATTAGCTTGTTTAGGCGTGGAGAGGAAAAAGGAAATGCACCACTGTGACACGGCTAATTGATTGTGGCAGGACAGAAGTGTAAAACACAAACAATTATGAAGACAGAAGAGGAAGAAGAAGAAGGACAGGGAGATGAAATTCGACTGCTCTGATACGATTCATTAACTTGGACAGGAAGGAAGGGAGTGTAAACAGCAAATATGGTCGCACAGATCTGTACGTTCATTTTTTAGGGGGTAGAACTGCTGCAGAGAGGCTGAAAGCTTAACAGCATGAAGCAAAACCTGCAGCCCTGAAAGAAAAATGTGTCCCAATGTTGCATAATATACTAATACTATAAAGTCTAATAGGAACCAGGATAAAAGGATCTACCAGTCACCCCCAAAGTGAGGATGCTGTCCTAAAAAAGTTGCCAAGCAACAACAGATAGCTTTTTTTTGGCCGCAGGGACTTTTTCACAACCCTTTTCAAGAGCTCAGGAGCTTGACCTCAATATTGCAGGAACTTGGTTTAAGTTTTCAATGCAGGGCCCCGAAAAGACTCAAAATCCTAAGACTTTCTGATGGGTCAGGAACCGTGAGGGTGTAGTGCTGAACTTCATTAACTGATCCAACACAAACATCATAAGCCTCTGTACAATATTATATATTATATATTGCATTGCAAACAAACACTGGTTATTGCATTTAATGGTGCAGTGTGCACCATTAAAGTTTTCATTAGTATAAAATCACCTGAAAATAAGAAATGTATCTACAGAAACCGCGAGCAGAAGTCCACCATGTTGAACCGCCATGTTTCTACAGCGGCCCAGAAGGACAAACCAAACACTGGCTCTAGATAGGGACAACACAACGATTCCTATATTCGGGTGATTATACATTAATGAAAACACATTTCTATCAATAGATCCTCCTAAATGTTACACACTGGACCTTTAATTGAACAACAACAGCTGCTATTTTCGAAACGGAAATGGTTCGATAATCCCCTCAACTCCTTTTAGAATTCACATTTAGTTACTCTTTATGTAACACTTTCACTTTAACACCATTTAGTCCATACTCCGTGTCTCGACTGCAAGCGTATCAGGTGCGTATGTAACTCACAATAAATATGCTCTCACTTTAATCTATATAGCTATCTGTGCCGGCTCCGTGCAGTCTCGCGTTTGAGCAGCATCTCACAGGCGTAAACTGTGACCTGAAGCATCTTTTTACGCTTCAAGACGCTTTTTTTGACAATACTAGTGTAAATGTAAGGTTGTTGCACAATAAAAAGGTGCACACCAGCTGGGAAGCAAGAGGGTAGTGAGGAGCTGCAGTTTTTATTCACGGGCAAACTGTAACCTTCACTGTACATTAACTGCCACTGGACAACTTCACCTTTCCCTCTGCTCCGATCGCCAACACCTGTCTCTCTCTCTCTCTCTGCTCAATACGCGTACACACACACACACACACACACACACACACACACACACACACAGCCCTAGTACTTAAAGGAGCCATGCTACTTTATGCATCAGTGTTGATGGAAAAATAGATCAGGATTACACATTAAAGCAAAGCTGCACATCGCTTGTATTTCAACTGCCTCTTCAACTGATTTCAGTGCTTAAACTCAGGGTCGAAACAAATGTCTCTGAAGTGCTCCAACATCTTCAATCACAGCAATACACACACATTTCGGAAGGTGCAAAGACTAAAGTTGTGCTCTTTGGACTGAAAAAAACAGACTGATTTACATAAATTTTTCTTTACGTAAATGACTACCTCAATACCCTGAAAATAAGGTAAATAAAGACATGAAGTTGCATAAAAGAGCCTAAAAGAGAGTGAAATAAAACTGGAATGTTATCATTTTAAGTGACACTTTCATCATCAAGTGACACGTCAGCTCCTTTCACACTTTAACTGGCTTTTCAACTTCTTCTAATGCTTCTGTTTCAGCTGCCATTCAACTAAAGCGCCAGGTCCAACTTCTGTTCCACTGAGTTCATTAAGTTCAAAAACTATTAAGTCAGGTAATGTGAGGAATTTAAAACTTTAATCTAAAATAAAAAACACAGAAATCCTCTCGGTATTTGCTTGTCATGTGACACCTCTTGCAGCACTTCACACAGCTGTGTTTCATTCAATTTAACCGCCCCTTCAACTTCTTTTTACAGCACTCCAACCTCAATTTCATCAAGTGCTTCTAATGAATTAAGCACTACCTCAAAATATGATCATATTTTAAGAGAAAAGGCAAAATAAAAAACAGAAAACCTACTATTATCACCTCTGCTGACTCCTTTCAGCACTTCCACACTGACACCTCCACTCCTTTAATCACGTCCAAACCACTTTCACTGCGTCCATTTTACATTAACTGTCAATTCACAGCCTTTGTTTCAAGCATCACTTTCTCGTTCAGTGCTTTTAACTTCAGCTCAAGTGAACCGACATCAGCTGACATTCAAACGCTTCAAAATACTATGAAAGATGTGTTTTAAAATGTTCCTCAGTTGCATTTAATTAATTAGATAACAAGCTACCTCAGAAGTCTAAAAATATGCAGGATGAAGGGACAGAGCTGGCAAGGTGCAGTTCTTATTTTGACACCTTACTTTGCTCAGTATTAACACATCTTTCTACAGAATCTCTTTTTCATTGAACTAAATAAGCTGAAACTCTCAAAAGCACCAGTGTTTAACATCTGAACACAAACGGCTGTGACTGAGGTTCAATTCCCAGACCTAATCACAGTGCACATCCCCCCCGACGCACAGGAAGAAAAGGAGGACACAGTGTTGTCTTTGCCTGATATGAGTACAAATTGATGAACCCAACAGCAATTGTGCGAAGGACAAAGAGTTGGCTGACTTCCCTAAAACGGGCAGCCCAGGAAGAGGAAGTTGTTTTCTCTTTCCTAATTCGGATCAGCAGGGGTGATCGAAATTTAACAGTGTGGTTTTTATTTAATGAGAGCTGACAGGAAATCAAACATCAGAGGAACAGACTTTTTCTGCCTTTACCTGAATCTGAGAGGCGATCCTGGCAGCAGGGAGGAGGGAAAACCTCCAACAACAACCCGAGCAAACAACATCAACGGAAGAGAGAGACGTCAGCAGCCTTACCTAGCTTGGGCAGTGAGTACTGGACTTTAAAGTAGTCCTGGTAAAATCCCAGAAGTCTCTTGGTGATGTGGAGAGCGTAGTCGCCCTCTCCGCTAGAAATGGCATCCGGTCGAGCATACAGACGGATCTAAAAAACAAAAAGGCACAGAAACAGAGAAATTGAATCAGGTCGATTTTAATTGCGATAAATCTAAAAACAGATAGAGGGAGAGGAAATGGAATTAGTGTATGCTCAGCTCTACGGAGGACAAACTGGAATTAAGCCAAGGTTTTTTTATGCAGAGGAAATTAAATTTGGCAGTTTACAATCATATCTTCACAAACAGAACAGAGTGTATATTAAACTAGAGGAAATAATACAATCAGGTTGAGTTTAGGTTCAAATCTGCAGAGAGACAGAAATTACATTTGATAGTGGGAGGGAGGGGGGGTGTCCAAATGTACACAGACGCGAACAGAAATGGAATCAGGCCAGTGTTAGGCAGGTCAAGTCTTCAGAGAGAATAAGTGAATCAGGCCGAGATCATGTTCAGTTCTCCAGACAAAAAAAAAAATGGAGTCAGGTTGAGTTTTGGTTCAAATCTACAGGAAGAAAAATGGATTATAGCTGCGAGCAGAAACACACAGGGAAAGAATAAAAGGAAGATAAAAGTTTGACTTTGGGTGGATTCCTATATTTCTCACAGCCAAAGTCAACCATTCACAACACTGATGCTGAGTGTATTTTTACAGCTTCATTCATTTAAAGCTGCAGTAGGTTATTTAAAAAAAAAAAAAAAAAAGTCATATTTTCTGAAACTTTAACTATATCCTGACGTCACGATAGGTTCACACTTCATCTCTACTCAGATTTCATCCAAATCGCTACTTTTACACAAACTTCCTGCAGTTAATATGTTTTTACAGTTATTTTTTTACTGCATTAAGTATAATATGAAATATCCCTAATATACAGTGGGTACGGAAAGTATTCAGACCCCTTTAAATGTTTCACTCTGTTTCATTGCAGCCATTTGCTAAAATCAAAAAAGTTCATTTTATTTCTCATTAATGTACACTCAGCACCCCATCTTGACAGAAAAAAACAGAAATGTAGAAATTTTTGCAAATTTATTAAAAAAGAAAAACTGAAATATCACATGGTCATAAGTATTCAGACCCTTTGCTCAGTATTGAGTAGAAGCACCCTTTTGAGCTACTACAGCCATGAGTCTTCTTGGGAATGATGCAACAAGTTTTTCACACCTGGATTTGGGGATCCTCTGCCATTCTTCCTTGCAGATCCTCTCCAGTTCTGTCAGGTTGGATGGTGAATGTTGGTGGACAGCCATTTTCAGATCTCTCCAGAGATGCTCAATTGGGTTTAGGTCAGGGCTCTGGCTGGGCCGGTCAAGAATGGTCAGAGTTGTTCCGAGGCCACTCCATTGTTATTTTAGCTGTGTGCTTAGGGTTATTGTCTTGTTGGAAGGTGAACCTTCGGCCCAGTCTGAGGTCCTGAGCACTCTGGAAGAGGTTTTCTTCCAGGATATCTCTGTACTTGGCCGCATTCATCTTTCCTTCAGTTGCAACCAGTCGTCCTGTCCCTGCAGCTGAAAAACATCCCCATAGCCTGATGCTGCCACCACCATGTTTCACTGTTGGGATTGTATTGGGCAGGTGATGAGCAGCGCCTGGGTTTCCCCACACATACCGCTTAGAATTAACGCCAAAAAGTTCAATCTTGGTCTCATCAGACCAGAGAATCTTATTTCTCATAGTCTGGGAGTCCTTCATGTGTTTTTTGGCAAACTCTATGCAGGCTTTCGTATGTCTTGCACTGAGGAGAGGCTTCCGTCGGGCCACTCTGCCCGACTGGTGGAGGGCTGCAGTGATAGTTGACTTTGTGGAACTTTCTCCCATCTCCCTACTGCATCTCTGGAGCTCAGCCACAGTGATCTTTGGGTTCTTCTTTACCTCTCTCACCAAGGCTCTTCTCCCACGATTGCTCAGTTTGGTTGGACGGCCAGGTCTAGGAAGAGTTCTGGTCGTCCCAAACTTCTTCCATTTAAGGATTATGGAGGCCACTGTGCTCTTAGGAACCTTGAGTGCTGCAGAAATTCTTTTGTAACCTTGGCCAGATCTGTGCCTTGCCACAATTCTGTCTCTGAGCTCCTTGGGCAGTTCCTTCGACCTCATGATTCTCATTTGCTCTGACATGCACTGTGAGCTGTAAGGTCTTATATAGACAGGTGTGTGCCTTTCGTAATCAAGTCCTATCAGTTTAATTAAACACAGCTGGACTCCAATGAAGGAGCAGGACCATCTCAAGGAGGATCAGAAGAAATGGACAGCATGTGAGTTAAATATGAGTGTCACAGCAAAGGGTGTGAATACTTATGACCATGTGATATTTCAGTTTTTCTTTTTTAATAAATTTGCAAAAATTTCTACATTTCTGTTTTTTTCTGTCAAGATGGGGTGCTGAGTGTACATTAATGAGAAATAAAATGAACTTTTTTGATTTTAGCAAATGGCTGCAATGAAACAAAGAGTGAAAATTTTAAAGGGGATCTGAATACTTTCCGTACCCACTGTATGTAATTTAGTTTTGGGGTCGTCAGTTTAGTGGATGATATAAAAAGGTTCCCTTAACGAAAAAGGTTCTAGAGATTAAGTTGAGATTATATTTCTGGAGAACAGGCGGCAGCAGCAGACCTGCAGCTGTGGGATTACTCACCGTTTCATTTCATCTCTGACTTTGAAACCTTTGCAACCTCATTGAAAACAAAAAAAAAGAACTTTGTAATCGATATTTTTTTTAAACTGGCTTTGATGCCAACTTGTTACTGCGGTATCAATCTGCCCGTCTCTCTTGCGATTCTGCAGCTCTGTCAGAAACGTTTCACTTCAGTGACTCCCAACTGGTTTTTTAAACTGAAGTGATTCTCGGGCTGACAGACACACGGACACATCTGCTCCATCTGAGTCAATTTTCTGAGGAAAAAAAACGGTTCCTGAGCTAAAAGCAATTTGGCAAGTTTTGCAAGAGAAAATGAGCTACTGCTGCTGCGGTCTGATCCAATAGATATCCAGTGTTTGTGGTCAGCTGGCTAATCTCACTGTACAACATATCTTCAGACTGCACACAGAGATATGGCCAGTCTAAAAACCCTGTTAGCATCTGTTAGCATCTTTTCATTATTCTGTAATATATGAGAGATGATTGGGATGATTTTAGCTGTTTTGTACCAGTTGTGGAGCTGAAAGAGGCACCAGGAAAATCTAATGTGTATTAAAACATTTGTGCACCTATTTAACAATGATTAGCAAAATGTGAACCCACCACTTTCAACCAATAATATCATGAGATCTACCCGTCAATCAATCTTCAACTTTCAGCGACACAGAGCGAAGATTCATTAGTTAGCTAGCCAGCTAAAAACTATAAGCTTTGGCTGTTTGTGTTTCCTCTTATAAGTTTCTGTTCTGTTTCTTTCGAGAGCGAAGATGATAAGAAGCAACCCCGAGGAAAGACCCAGTAATCATCTCCACTGCAAACCCCCGGCAATGTACCACAGTAAATGAAAGGAAGAAAACAGTGAGATTGCACAGCAGGGGTCTCCTGTTCAGTAACAAGAAAAGGCCAAGCAGGAGTTACCTGGACACTGCGCATCCACTGTGTGAGTGGTGGACAGTTGAATGGACACACATTGTCATCCTCTAACGCAGCCGAACAATAACGCCATGAGTTTGTCTCGAGTCCGACAGGAAGAGGAACCCAGATCCTTTACTGAGTACAAGTATAAAGACACTTCATTACAAGAAACCATTGAAAACCTTTCTCCTGTGAGTGATATCTGAGTAGATTCGGTTGCTAACACTAACGGCAGCTACATTAGCAGTTAGTGGAGTCGAGGCAGAGCAGCCGGAGGACGTCAGAGAGAAAACCAGACAATATTCTCTCCATAAAATATGATCCAGTTTCACCCGAATCACAGCCAGCCAGCTAACTAATGAACCTTCGCTCTGTGTCGCTAAAAGTTGAAGATTGATTGACGGGTAAATGTCATTATATTATTGGTTGAAATCAGTTAGTTAATGCTGACGTAAGCACACGTAACCTTCTTGTTTTACAAGAAGACACAGTGACTAAATCTTTATATAAAAATAGAAAGAATAATAAAAACAAATTGATATAAAGAACAATATAACTGAGGATGTGATCTTAAAGGGTTAAAATGACATTTTTCACTTCACCTGGACTTTAATTAGACTGGTTGAGAAAATATAGCTGATTACTTTCCACCACTGTTTGCAGTAACTGACACGAAGCTGCTCTCTCCTCTGTGTGTTTGCGTGATGGACGCAGCAGTTAATCAGTCTGATCCCTAAATACACACAAACACTGTCAGCTGACAGACAGGCCGCTGGTGATGTCACTGATCAATATGCATGTATCGGCTGCCCGGACACAGCTACAGCTCTGTGTGTGTGTGTGTGTGTGTGTGTGTGTGTGTGTGTGTGTGTGTGTGGATGTTTTACTGTCTGAGAGAGAAACCACCTCACTGTCAGCTGAAGGACGACAGAGACCAGCTATCAAACACACACACACACAGTACACAAAGATAAAATACACACAACTCATATCATTTTTCACATAAAGACAGAAACGGGTGGACACACACACACACACACACCCGCCATGATGTAATGCTGCTGTATCACTGCTGTCACACACACACACACACAGAGAGAGAGAGAGAGAGAGAGAGAGAGGTAAACACTGCTGTCCCAGTAATGTCACTCTGCTATCTCTCCCAGTTTCACTTCCACTCTAATAAAATCTGCTTTCACACAGCTGTAAACACATATTGGATTCTGTACAGTCAGAATAAACATTGTAAATCAGGTTCTACGTGGTATCACAGTGCTTGTGTCATATAAAAGCTCCCGTTAAACTGACACACACACAAAGAATCAAGCAGTTGTGTAGAATTAAAGCTGCCTTCCAGCCGAACTCAAAGCTAATTTTACAGGCGACTTCAAGGATTAATTTAGCTCAGACACGAACAAATATCTCGTTTTAATCACTCTGGATCTTGGGTATACAGAATTTCCATTTTCCAGGACTTTTCCAGGACATTTTCC